CTTTGTTTGGATTAGGCCCAGAAAGATTGATGGCATAAAGATGGAGATCAAGAATCCTCAGGAATACGATTTTAAATTACCACCACAACCTCAGACGGGTGTTATCCAAAGATATACAGATGAATGCAATAAATTGAACACAACGTCATCATTGACCTAGGATACTGCAATTAGACTAAACATCCTTTTATGAAATCTAAAAAAGTTGTTTGGCGTGTGTTTAGTTGTGGTTACATTTGGAGGCGCTGAATTTTTTATAGTTTAAATAAATGAATATGGGGAATTACGATGTACATTGATTCAATGAGGGTGGTATAATTATCAAGGATATTGGAACTGATAACGGGATAGATAATAAACATAGACAATTAATTACGTCACTAGCTTTACTAGCGTTTTTACTTTTTAAATTCCTTCAACATGTGACCAGTTCTTTTGTTCAAATGAATATTTTTTTTTGACTCAGCTGTTTACAAAACAAACTAATATGTTGTTGTGTTTACTTTTCGTTGTTTAAACTTATTTATTTAGCAATTGGTGCAGTGAAATTAACATAAAGGATGTGTGTGGACGATTCGTTTAATGATGTCAGGACACCAACGTTATAATTATGTGTACTGTGAATTTTATTGGATGTTTTCGTTTTATTTTAGGGAGTTTCAACTCAGACCTACTGGAAATTGTGTATAGTATGAGTAATTGTATTGTGGTAATATTGATTATGGAAGAGGTAGGTATGCGATGGAAGGAGATATCATTGACTAGGCCTATACACTTCTCAATTGATAATTACTCATTCTACTGTAGGCTGCAATAAAAATTTTCTTTATACGTGTAAACTAGCTGTTCTGAATTATAGGCCTAAACCGTTTTAACTGACTACTCCCGTACGTAGGACGGGCTTACACCTCGTAAATCTAAAATAAATTGTCTTGAATAATGAAACAGCTGATCTTAGTCAGTAGCAAAGCTACACAGATCATCTCACACCATTCTACACTCCAATCATATGTTTGGTTAAAATACGCACCTATGCGGTATCCCCATCTCTATTTCTAAAAATAATGAGAAATAATTAATAACCATAATGTAAAATACTCCATTAGATTACCAAAAGAGGAAATGAAAACTAAAACAATATAATCCTCACACCGTTTTATACCTAGTAATGGCGTATTTTGACTTATCAGTCAGAATTTGCAGTATCTGCGGTGAAGTCGTCTGTAAAGTAGTCCGGTTTATTTCACACCAGATAAGGAGTTAATCAGAGCTAATGGATGAATCCAACCAATCACAAAGTAGCTCTTGATGTGGCTTAACTTTCTGGTTTTACCTTGGCAAAGGTTGAAATTAAATGCAAACTTGTCTTTATACGTGGTATTTTATTTAAAAAGTTGTTGACATTTTTGTATTTTCTTGATAATTGAGGGAAGTTAATTAATTTTTTGAACAGGTGTGGTTTTTTCGTTTTGAAAGTGTTGTACTAGAAGTTGTAGTCCATATGATGTAAGACACGAAATGTTTTGTTTCCAACAGTTTTGTATATGCATCTGAAAAAAATCAACATCATCAAAATTCTTTATTGGTTTTCCCCTTAGGGTGCAACAAACAACATCAATTTTCAAAGAAACTTAAAAAAAAACTCGCAGGTACAAAGTATTTTAAATTTATTTAACTAATAAGAGAGATTTTGTTATCCATAAAAAAAGTTATAATACTGTTCACTGAGTAATGGTGCTAAATATTTTGTTTTCATCACCGAAAGTGAAAGATAGTTGAGTTTTTAGTTTTTCAGGAAAAACGGGTTTTAATTTTGTAGATGTTTGTTGAAATAACCAGCAAGTTAAGGAAAATTTACTAACTTTTTATATATTCACAACAACCTAAAATTTAATAAATGCTCACCCTAAGTTGATGTGGCGTTGTGGATTTTGTGGTGGAATATCTTATGGAACGCGTTGACGAAGGGGGAATATACAGAGGGGTAAGACAGGAACACCATAACCAACATCACTAGCAGTAGAATGGGTACGTAGTCTACTTCCATGGCACCTATAACATGGAAATAGATATTAGCTAGCTTTTCTTTGAATTGTTATCATTATCTATGTTTTATTTTACGAGTATTTTCTGAATCATAGGAGACATCTAAAGTAGGATTATTCCATTGTAAAAAAAAGGTATTGTTGGCATACTTTCTGTTGGGCATAGTTAAAAGATTGGTAAACACAGAACAAAAGGTTTCATATATGTATACTCGCATGAGTGTTAATTGGTGTCCCCATCCCAAATAATTGATAACTGAGCCACGTTAATTTTCATTTAGAACTGACTATATATTTAATACTAGGCCTAGATGGAAAGTGTACCTAAGAGGTCTCATAGTGTACTCTTTTAAATATACTTTGCTATGAAATGATGCAGTTTTCTGGGCAATAAATAGAGATACTGTGTATACACACATCACAGGCCGATTCGCAAAACCAACCAGATAAAAACATTATACATGTTAAATATGTTATTTGATTAATAATGCAATTTTTTACTTGAAGATTTTCTAAACCACATCATCAATTAACAAGGATACAAATAAATATGAGTTTTCTAAATATTCTATACAGCCCACTGGGATTTTACAGTATATTCGTTTTCAATATCGTGCTTAAAGCAAAACTCAGTTTAAAACAATCTTTAATAGAGACTATATTTATCCCAAACCTGTAGTATGTATAGCCTAGTAAAACTGAAAAATGTTGTTAATGTTAAATCTAAAATACATCAGAGAATCATAATTGTTCTTACCAAAAATTAATATGTGTTAAATGTTGTTTATTGCAATTGGTAAACATTAAATCAACTAAGTTAACTCAACCAACATGTCCAAGAAAAGATTAAGCATTTAAATAATAATTTACCTCAAAAATATGTAGCTTTTTATAATTCCACTGAAAAACCGACGCAATTAAGCCACAGATCCTCAAAATGATGTTGACTCGAATAATAAACTTATTAAACTGCGGTCACATATTTGCACGTTACAACAGTTCAAGTATACACTCTAGATCTACTAAAATCAATTAAAGTATTTATGTAAGTACTAAATAAGATAGCAATCACATAAGTCTGATCTTAATCTGAATCAATTTAACATTAAAAGCCGGTGAAAATCCTTGACCGATTTCAGTTATCGTGTAACAACATTAATGTGCTAATTTGACTAATTATGTTGATAAATAATAAATAATAAACACGATGGAATTTTTTATTTTTTAAGTTAATACTAAATAGCCATGAAAAGTTGGGAAGCTTAAAGATTTATTGTGTTTTCCTAAACATATTCCATCTTTTTTGTTTCTTACTTAAATAATTGATACCTCACAAAGACCTCAGAAAGAACATATAGGCCTACCCTAAAACAGTTTAAAACTAAGCCCTACACCTAAAAAACTAAATTTCGAAGGCCAAATAGAAATCGGTACTCGCTAAGGTTTAAAGACTTATAGAATGTACAGACAGTTTAATGCTTTCAGCCAGAATTTCAATCCTTGGAGTGTGAGTTAAAATACAGATAATCACCGATAGTTTTTTAGGTTCACATTTATTATAGTTCAAAAAAAAGAAAAAAGAAAATATTCATTCATAAAAATAAAAAATAAATAAATTTCCCGATTCATCGGAAATCTTCCGGCCACGTTGACTAACCCTCCCATACCAGCCAGGGAGGAACTGGCTCCTGGTGGAGGCCTTCATTACACGGTGTGGAAGACCCTAAATCGAATCAGGGTCGAGGTACCAAAATTCAAGACAAACATGCAGAAATGGGGTCTCTTACCAGACGAAGAAAACATCTTGTGCGCGTGTGGTGTTGTTCAGGATCCTGGCCATCTGCTGATCTGTCCACGCCTAGACCAGTCTTGCACAATAGATGATCTTTTACAAGCGAATGACAAAGCCATATCGGTAGCTAATTTTTGGAAAAGCGAAGTCTGATTTCCGAACACGGAAAGTAAGTAAGTATCGGTAATCTCCCTCGGGTCATACACACGATTATTTAAAACACATTAAATATATAATACGATTATTTATCCCCCCTCTTAGGATAGGGATTATTGTAAAAAAACTAAGTTTTTAAATTAAATAGTTATTTAGAAACATAATAACGCTAAAAGATACTTTTTGAAACAACATAGATTACTGCAATCATTACTGTATCAGTATCATATTTTAGTGTATCGTACCTCATACTTTTATAAACTTACCATAAATATTTTGCTAACGTCAAAATGTTCTGTACAAATGTACTGTTGATGTTACCCCAGGTGACGCTGTATGAAAGCCCTGGTCAGTCTGGCTAGATTACTCTGCGGGCTTAGTTGTGACGTCACAGGTTGATTACCCCAGTTCATCCTTGTGGCTTTATGTCCTGAATATTATTTCATGATTACAATATTTTTTTTTAACTTCAAAGGGTATTTAAATAAATCAACACTTTATAATAGCTACACTGAATAGTTTACTGTTTTTCGTTATTTTGGGTGATGCTTTTCCTTTATGGATCAATAGTTTGTCTTGATAACGTTCAATCTTATTTTACTCTATATTAATTACATTCAATTAAATTTTTTTCTATTGATTTTTATTTTGTTGCACTTTATTTCATTCTATTTCAAGTCACTTCATCACAATAGTGTTGTTTGTTGATGTAAGAATATATATTGAGAAGTTTCTGTCTGGTCATATTATTTTTTTTTTGTTAACGAGGTGTATATTTTCCTTGCTAACTTCTATAGGATGATATACTATTAAGCTATGAAAAATCACTCAATATATCTTGCTGTAAAAATATAGACCAGCAAGACCCATTAAATGTATTGATCAAATCGTAAACTGTCTACGAATTCCATTGTTTCTGATAAATAGTGAACAATTTTCCCACACCTATGTTTTACCATTGACTATATATACTTACAGGTTTTACTTAAAGTTATGTTTTTGTTACAGATATCCACTAACTACTGGAGAGAAGTTTCAGCAATACAGGTATGTCCATTTAATAAAAATAAATTGTTCTTAGTATTTCCGGGTACCAATAGGATTTAAAATTGGAAACAGCTCAGACAACTACCAAAACCTTTTGAAATCTTGTAATATCAGCTGGAATATTTAGTTTCTTTTAATTTAGATACAGCTCAGTCATTTCAAGGTTGCCTGATATTTTGTCGTTGAACATCTAAAAACGTACTAGTCATGTCATTTTTTATTTTTTTATTTTTTTTTATAGTTGTTAAACAATTGTTTTATCGTGTTAAACAGTGGTTGAAGGGCTTTTACAATTTCACATTTCAAACAGGTTCTTGAAATACGTACGGATTATATTTAATTATCCTAATAATCTAGAGCTTCGGAAAAAAAACAAAAAAAAACTGAAAAAAAACCTCCGGTGATTTGCGAATAACATTTTACTTTGCTTTGATATATGAAACAATGCCAACAAAAATCTGTTTGTTTTTTAAACGTCATGTGTAATCATAGTCTTGCTTTTTAGGTGTATTAAAAAACAGTCAATGTTTATTTAATATACCAACTTGATTTTCTCTCCCGATATCATAAGGTGGAAAGTGTTGGCGGAGATATTTCAATAAAGGTAGAAGCCGATTCAAGATGGCAGCTGATTTATAACTTGACATTCTTAAGCGTTCAGGCTTTGAACAGTTTATTCCTTTGTATATAAATAACACGCAGAAAATATTTATCTATAAGTATTTTTTTTACCTAGTATTGTGTAATGAAAAGACGTTTAAGTGGTAGACCTAATCTTGTAAACTTCCCACAAACTTTGTTAAAACTATTTTTACATACATTCCTATGGGATTATACTACTATATTTAATTTAAAATGGTTTCATGTTCATACGAATTATTAATTAATAACCTAATATTTCTCCTAAACCAGAAACTGTAATTAAAAAGTATTCACCACCAAAAAACTAGAAATTCCTCATTGAATCCATCATGTTATCGACAGGAGTTCGTCGAATGAATAATTTGCCAATAGCATACCATAGTTTCAAACCACTACGTTCCATACCATACTGACCGCCATGCCACCATACCACCATACCAACATACCACAGCTGATGATGTTCAGCTACAGACTGTTTTGTGGTACAGTATACACCACAGACAGTAACATGAACGCTGCCCTTATGACATTCTGTTCATAGTTGACAATGCATTCGAATTGAGGAGATATAAATTTGTTGTTATTTGAATATATTTGTGTTTTGTTTGTTTGAATACACGCTTTCAGTTTCAACTATTTATTTTGTAATAGTTAGATTTTTTAAATTTTTGCCTTTGTAATTTGCCTCTTGTTTTTGCAAAGGTGATTTTGTTGCTGAAAATGTATCTGCAGTTTAATTTTCTATATTGTGTTTTAGTATGGGCGATAAAGTAAACCAGTGTTTTTGGTGTTTTGGCTCTTTGGTTTGAAACTGAACCAAGCTATCTTTGGATCATTGGGCTTTAAAACGGTCCTATAAGCTGGTCTATGCCTGTAAAAAGCTGCACAAATAATTCCACTTAATCACATTCATCCTATACTCATATTTTAGTTAAAACATGCAAGTTTGAAGGAGATTCAATCAACAGTCCTGTTTTCAATCATCTTAGTTGGGGAAATTGCTGTAGTATCATGGGTATTTGAGATTTGTTAAAGATGTATGTACTAAAGCTATTCTAAGCTAAGTAATATTACTCAACATTTAGAAACATTTGAGTTTAGTCACACGCGAGTTTACTAATAAAACATTATCTCAAGCGGTGTATAATTAAATCTGATACGTGCGGCTGTGTTTGAGGTGGTAAATGATGAGAAAGGGTGAGAGGGGGTTGAGTTGGGGGATGTGAATATTTGTGAAAATTTACTCCCGTTACCTTAACCCTTATTACTAAGACCCCGTAAATATATTTTATTATTAGTTGGATGAGATAAGTTCTTGAAAAAAACACTTATGGAAATATGAATTTAATTAAATGTTAGAAAAGAAACTTAAAGGCATATATATTCTGTCTTGTCACAATTCACTATTTTGTTTCCCTGCTGAATTTGAAAAAAAATGTTGGGGCTAACGTTTTAATTAATTTTACAAACTAGCTTATGACTGCTTGGTAATGGAAAAAATAATGCATAGAAAATGTATAAATGTATAATTACATAATTATAATTATATAATTATATACATTTATACATTTATACATGTATAAATGTATAAATGTACGGAATTTCGTTTTGGTTTTTAGTATAATACGATGCTATTTATATAAGTTATACAGCACCTTAAATATTTTAGTTTAGTTCAAATCAATTCTAGGTTATCTTTTGGTAATACGTTGGAAAATTTCAATGTATGATAGAGCTAAAATTGCGTAAATAAGATGTTGATGAAATACCAATATACAGTATTAACATTTAACACAATTAGTAAAATTAAAATAAACCGATATTTACACACAAAAAAACAGTAGGAAAATAATTATTTTTATGTTTTAATATAATTCAAAATATTTTAAAATAAAAATTGCAATCGATATATCTGATTTCCAAACGAGTAAATACAATGATTTCATTATTCCTGAGCACACGATTAAAGTTTTTTAAATTAACGTACAAAAATAAATGCTACAAAAGTGTAAGTTATAATAAAACTGTAATGTAACATTAATTTTACAATAAAGTTCCGAATATGATTCTGTTCTCCAAATAAGAACGCGGCTAAACAGCACAAAACATCATTTCTCAATCTCTCTTTTAGGCTCATGCATTATGGAGAAGTAAAGTTAGATCCCAGAACCATTATTTACAAACCACCTGATATTTTGGCTGAACACCACAAATCCTAGGCATATTGAAATTCAATTTTGATTTCTTTGTGTGTAGATTAACGTTAGCTGTGTAAATGTTGTTTAAATGATTTTTGTAAGATGGAAGACTATTTGCGATGGATTAGTAAAACATAACTTTTACACATTTTTGAAATCTAATTCAAATCTTTCTTGCGGATGGATAAAGTTTTCAATGTCTTTGATTAGTTGAGGTTTTAATGAGATTTTTAAGGATATGGTGTGTGATATATTTGTTTTTGTTTGTTTTAGTGAATTTACCAGATAGGGAATAAGCTATTGCCGTAATACTCATAGTAAGACGTAGACCCTGGACCGATTAACTTTTTCATTTTGATGTCCCTAGAGGCCAAAAACAATATTCGTTCAATAAACTTCGTTTGTAGGTGTATGATGAGATAAACTTGAATGAGTTCGCGAACCAACATGATCGGACCATGAGAACGGAGTTTTACGGGGGATTTTATGGGGTAAAAATTGGTTTTCATCTTTTTTTGACAAAAAAGAACATAAAAGGTTCCAATTTCTCTGTATACATTTTTAAAGAGCTTAAAAAACAAATAATTTTGTATATTGAAGTGTTTTTGTACGGTGATTGGTAACGGAGAAGATTTAAAATATTTTCAATTTAAAATTCCCATGTTAATCTTATGGAGAATAATGTAAAATGTAGTTTGCTTGTTTATAGAGATATATTTCGATAAAACCTGGCAAATTTATTTATTTTATTCTAAGCTATTAATATTTTACTAAAAACACACTTTATTGGCCTCCCTCTAGCAGTAAACCTTGGAACTCGTTTAACCTAATGTTTTAGCGAATTTCCCTATAGGGAAGTAGCTATTACCGTAGGTCTCATGGTAAGGCCTAGGCCAGGGACCGATTTACTTTTTTCATTTTGATGTCCCCAGAGGCCAAAAACACCATCCATTAAAATTTATATATATCTATATATATATATATATATATATATGTGCCCATCCGCACGATAACTTGAGTAATTTTTGTCCAATTTTGATAAAATTTGGTTTGAAGGTGTAAGGCGAGATAAACTTGAATGAGTTCGCGAACCAGCATGATCGGACTATGGGAACGGGGTTTATGGGGGGTTTTATGAGGTAAAAATAGGGTTTTCCCATTTTTGACCCTAAAAACACAAAATTTCACAATTTCTTTCTAAACCATTTTGTAGAGCTTAAAAAACGAATAATTTAGTATATTGAAGCATTATTATGCGCCTAATTGTTACGGATAAAATTCAAAAAAATTGTAGTTTTAAAATTCCCATGTTATTCTTATGGAGAATAAGTCAACTAACTTTTTTACCCTCCCTGTTGCAGCAAACCTAAGTACTCGTGAAACCAATTCTGTTTAAATAGGGAACAAATGTGATATTTTTAAGGAGACATTTTAGTGTAAATCCAATTAGACAAATGGAAATTCGCTAAGTCTGCAGGTTTGCTGCGGCGGGGGTATTTTAAATAGATTTAATTGTATATCGATTCAGGCAAATGGAAATTCGCTTAGTCTACTGGTTTGCTGCTGCGAGAGTATTTTTATTTCTAAATAAATGCGCAGTAAAAGATTAATTAAGTAGCAAATATATCAAATAGAAAACAAGAGCTTACCGCAAAATTTCTACTTATATGACCACAATCTGTGTTTCAACCCATATTTACATCCAATCTTAAGTTAACTCTTCTAAAATTAATTATGTACAAGAAAAGCTATTTTTAAAGTTAATTTTGAAAATTGATGCAGCAACATCAATATCGGAGCTTATAATGAGAATCACCATCTATTTCGTTGAATAATTACAACGGGGATCATCTTCTATCATTAATCTTGCTTTGACGAGCTAATATCTCGCTTTTGTGTTTTATATTTAATAAATGCCTCCTTGAAGCTTAGGAAACCAATCTACACTAATATTAGATTTGTGGAGTATTCAACAATTATGCAGAGTCGTTGGCTCATAGATGATTAAAATTGTGTATTTTTATTATTTCCGAAAGTGTTTAGTAATCATCGTATGAAAATTGGTTTCCTCCTGTTGTACTCATAAGTTAAGCTTTTATTTTGTATTCATAGAATTTTTCTTTTTATGTAATTGTTGTGAGAATAATTCAGAGTCATTAT